CTTTTTCTCTTCGCTTGTTGAAATTTGTAGTAATTTACAAGTTGAAGTTAAGCTGAGATTACTTTTTCTCTTCGCTTGTTGAAATTTGTAGTAATTTACAAGTTGAAGTTAAGCTGATTCTTTATTTTCACTTGTTGAAATTTGTATCAATTTACAAGTTGGAGTTAAGCCGAGATTACTGTTTTTCTTCGCTTGTTGAAATTTGTAGTAATTTACAAGTTGAAGTTAAGCTGATTCTTTATTTTCACTTGTTGAAATTTGTATCAATTTACAAGTTGGAGTTAAGCCGAGATTACTGTTTTTCTTCGCTTGTTGAAATTTGTAGTAATTTACAAGTTGAAACTTTGATGATCTTATCTCTTCACTTGTTGAAATTTGTAGCAATTTACAGGTTGAAGTTAAGCCGATGTTATTCCTTGATTCACTTGTTGAAATTTGTAGCAATTTACAAGTTGGAATTAAGCTGATTCCTTATCTTCACTTGTTGAAATTTGTAGCAATTTACAAGTTGAAGTTAAGCCGAGCTTATTCCTTAATTCACTTGTTGAAATTTGTAGCAATTTACAAGTTGGAATTAAGCTGATTCCTTATCTTCACTTGTTGAAATTTGTAGCAATTTACAAGTTGAAGATAGGCCGAGGTTATTGCTTAAGTTCTTGTAGCAATATGTGGGTTGTTTAAACCCTAGGGAAGATGCTTAACACTTGTTGAAATTTGTAGCAATTTACAAGTTTATGTTAAGCCGATATATGATCGCCCGCTGAGGTGATCAGAAAGTTACAGGTTAAAGTAAAAGCTAAGTATATTGTTCCCTACTTGTTGAAATTTGTAGCAATTTACAAATAGGTTAGACTAAGATTACCATTTAATACTTGTTGAAACTTGAGAAGAAGCTTACAAAGTTTACATTCAGAAATATATGTTTTATACTTGTGGAAATTTATGAAAAGTTTGCAGGTCAATATCTTGCCGAAGTAAAAGCTTTATGGTTATACCCGAGGTATGTAACCCCGAGCAGATTGCGCAAAAGAAGCAACATAAAGAAGCATGCAAAATTTTTTTTTTAAAGTACAAGACTATGCAGAAGCAGTCAACAGAATATCACAAGATTAAAACATCCAGAGGAAGAACTGTTGCAGTTACATATTGAAAAAACCACGTCGGCCAAAAGAAGGAGTTTTACATTATCCAGAAAGTAAAAAAGTACAAAACGCAAAAAAACAGAAAAAGAAGGAAAAAGGTACAAAAGACATTTTTTCAAGATTCTTCACTGTTAGCCACTGCAGGGACTGGGACCTCGGACGATTCTAGTGGAACCTCGTCGGCCACTTTTTCCGCTTGTATCTCGGCATCAATCTCTGCTAATGATTCCTCAACACTTCTTTCTAGCAGGAGAAGGTTGGACGATAGCTGCCCAGTGACAGTTTCCTTGGTTGCCTCCTTGGCCTCTTCACCCTCCTCATCCAGGGTTAAGTCCATAACTTGCTCTGCAGGAGGAGGGGACTTGGCTTCGACGACATTCTTGGGTTTTCTCACCAAGGCTTCTTCATTGACCTCCTTGTCTTCATCCTCGGCATCAGCATCAGATTCTGATTCGCCTTCAGGTGGAGGTGGAGGAAATGGCAAGGGGATGGCATCAGCATTCCGAAGGGGCGAGTCAACAGGGAGATCAAGCTTCTTTATCAGGGACATCCAACCTAGGGAAAATCCCCTGTTGCATGCCTGCCTGACTTGAAGCTTATAATCTTCTGCGACGTCGGCCATACCTTGGGCGTAGGCCTTTTCATCGGCCTCTTTGACTTCGGCCTCTTTCGTGGCCAGAGCTTGCTGGAGTTCTTTCTCCGCTTGGGCCTTCTGAGCCTCGGCCTCTCTTTTTCTCGGCCTCAGCAACTTTTCTAACGGCCTCAGCAGATTCGGCCTTCTCAAGAGCTAAAGTTTGAACTTTAGTTGCAGCCTCGGCTTGATCCTCCAGTTTTTTCATTTTTGCTTCAAGGGACTTTATCTCTCTCTTCATGGAAGATGCTTCCCTTTTCATATCAACCAACCTTTGACGATTTTCAAAAGATTGCATTGAAAATGAATGGGCATGCTGAATGGCCTGCAAGAAAACAGAAATGTGAGACAGTACTCTCAGTAAAGAACGGAAGAAAAAATCACAAGTACAAACAGAAATACTTACTTGCACGGAGTGTTGGAGCATGAGAGCGTAATTCTCATACTCACTAAGCTTAGCATTTCGCTCCAAGTCATTTGGAAGCAGAAGAGCAGTGCTAAGGGCGACACCAACATTGATATCGTCGGCACTTTCACTAGCCATGATAGGCCTATCCTCCAACGTTAGTTCAGGAGCCCATGGGACATCGGGCTTCTTTGACGCCGAGGTCGTCGCAGACGATGACCTTGGCCTCTTTGATTGAGTGGACCCTGAGGGTTGACCCTCAGCTGACCTCTTGGTGGAAGCAGAGGTTGATTTTCTACTTTCTGCCAGCTTTGAAATAGGCACAGCATCCTCAGCTTCGGCATCTGTAACCTTGGCCTTAGGCTGAGCCTTTTTAACTCTCTTTGGTTTTGGTGGGAGCAATGATTGCATTGGCGCAGCTTCGGTGTCAGTTGGAAGGTCGGCGAGAAGGTCTTGAACGACAGGTCTTGGACGAACCATCTCGGCAGTCTTTACAAGCCTTCGTCGACGTTTACGTTCAGGAATTGGTATTAAGTAGGGGGCCGAAGTTGATGGAAGATCGGCTCGGTCAGAGGTGGATCCTTGATCTGTTCGGGATGAAGACGCGGTTACAGTTGTGGCAGTAGGAGGAGAAAGACTCTTTTTCTTCCTTTTTGGGACGTCGGGTAATGTGGATTTGTATGTCGGAATGAAATTCAGCAACAGGGGAGCCTTGCGCTTGTGGATAGGAAGACCAAGAAGCTTCTTTAAGTCTTTTCCAGGGAAGAAGGATTGACGGAAGTTCTTTGGTGGTTGATGAAGATCTGCAGGACAAGCAAACAGACGTCAGAAACAGAAAAGACCAAGATCACTGTTTAATACTTGTTGATAGTAAGTTGCATGGGGTTCAGCCTATAGAAGTAAAGAACTTCGCGAAACAGGGGATCAAGTGGAAGCCGAAGTCCACATTCGGTGAAAGCTACTATAGGGAAGGGCATCGTATGGTCTGTGGGCATGATGGTGTCACTGTCCCCAGCTAGTTTAAGATGAACATCGGCTGGGATAGAGAATTCCTGCCTAAAGTATTCAAGTTTTGTTGGGGTATTTACCCTATGCCTCCACATACCCATTATGTCAATTTAAAATATGTTTCAGAAGATGGGCGTTTTTAGGAAGGGTTACAAGAACCTCGGTAAAGATCTAAGAAATGGCTGATAAGGCTTATTTCAGTTTTCCCTAAATTTGAAGGTTCTACGCACAAATCCCAAACCTAAGAACTATAAAGATCAAGATTGAAGGCACAGATTTGGGGCAGAAAAGGAAAAAAAAAAAAAAAAAAGAGAATCAAGAACAGTGGCAAAGAGAATGGTGAAAAAGTATAGAAGTTCAAGGTATAGCCACAAATTCAAGATACAAATAAATCCAAGGCTTCGAAAAAGATCAGTAATGGCAACAGGCAGACAAAAGCACAGAAAGAGAAATTAACATTGAAGGGAATGAATCTTACCGGAACAAGTGAAGCCGGGACAATGTTCGCTGAGCTCAGAAATTGGTTGCAACAGCAAAGAAGGCTTCGCAAGAATGAGGAATTAAGAGCAGTTCCAGAAGAAAGGTTGAAGCGATGACAGATTCGAAGAAGAAAGAGCCTTCAGAGAGAGAAAGAGCAAGAAGACAGAATGAAAAAGTGAAGGGAAAATAGAGGCAAAGAAAAAGTTTTGTCAAAAACATGAAACGGCGGCAAAAATAGGGCAATTATTGCGCCTAGAGCAACGCACGCGTCAGACGGCGCAGACGAACGAACAGACAGCTTTCAGGCGCGTCACCGACACGCTCCAATGAAGACAAAACACGTGAAAGGAACGGTTAGATATGCATGACAGCTCATGCGCGTGGGAAAGTACGATCGAAGCCTTGTTCTCCGAAGAGAACACATCGGCTGAAAGTGGATAATCTTGGCTAAATCAGTTTTTGAGCCCTTACTCAGAAAAGAAGTGACAAAATATCGGAATAGGTTCCATCACCTCAGCATGCCGAGGTAATAGAACCTAGGGGGCAGTTGTGGGGATGTATTTTCTCTATACCAACACGTGGCATGGTGATGCCGACGTGTCAGCCGAGGTGCCACGTGTCGTGGTAGTTAAGCCGAGATAATCTCGGAGAAGCCGAGGTTATCTCCGAAGATATCGGAATCCGAGATAAGGGACAAGAGTCCTAAGGCAAAGAGGGGACTTAACTAAGATAAGGATAAAGCTCTTAGGGAGTTTATCTGTATCTCCTAAAGAGTCCAAAGTAAGCACTAAAATTGGAGTACATAGAAGTCATAATTCAAGTGGGATTTGGAGTGAGTATATTATAAAAGAGAGGCACCCCCATGGGTCTAAGGTATGCAATTTATGTTTTGAGTATTCAGTTTAGCACTTGATTATCTTTGAGAAATATACTGACTTGATCGTCGGAGTGCCCCCGGGTGGAAGAACCACCGCCGGAGCTTTTTTTTTCTGTTACAGGTTGCTAAAGCCATCTATTCTGCCTGTGCTCTCCAGCTGATCACTAAACGGGCAGTGTGGTCAGATTTTCACCCACACAGGGACCTCTGAACTATTTTGGAAAAAGAGGGTGGAAAGGATCCAGTGCTGCTAAATTTCGAAAGCCCATACGACCATCTTCAGAGAGCAGCATCACTGCGAGATCTATGAACTTTGGCAGTCTTCAAGTTAGACAAGGAATTGCACAAAATATGAACATAAAACATTTTAAAGATGCAACATTACCTGAGGGTACATAATTTTCGAAGACGTTCTTTGACCTCATCATTCTGCCACTGCAATTTTTCCATTGATATTTATTCCTGCTCTGCTTCAATAGTTTCTAGCTTTGCTGCGTTATCTTTGTTGAAAGGCAATTTAAGCAAAATAGGACACTTTAAAATCTCAATCTTCTCCAAGGATCCCCACTCCAGTGACTCGATAGCGTAGACACTTGTTAATTTTGGCATGTCAAGGAGAATCAATTGCTTCAGCTTTGGCAGTACGTTCAGATTTCTAACAGCGTCAGATTCTGCAATTATTTCTTCAATTTCTTGACACTTATCAATTTTCAAATACTGGATTTCATAAAGTTGTTGAATCACGCCAGCAGGAAAAATCTTGACCAGCATTTGCCAACTAATCAAATCTAGAGTCGTTAATTTGGTTAGGCCTGGGCCCTTCCAAATGCTTTTCAGCTTTGGTAGATTTTTTAGGACTAAGTACTCTACCTTTGGTAATACTTCACTGTCACCCACGATGGTTTCAATTGCATCACAACTTTCAATTAGACAACCTTGGACCACATTCATGCTAATCCCAAAGTCTGATAGCTGCTTGATGTTCTTGTGATTGACTAATTCCAATGCATCTGCTTCAGCAAGGGCCTCAGGAAATGGAAAACCGCTACTTGCACCATTGCAATGTTTGATATACTTATCATAAAATTTGGGAAATTGAGAATTTTCAAAGTTTTGGCAACCAATGTAAAATTGAAATGTGGCATCTCTCCATGAACTATTTTTTGTCAAATATAGAGCAAATGCAGTTTCAGGACTACAAATATGGAGAGATGTACTAGACTTAAGCTCTATGACAACAGCAACCTTTTTGGATAAACAAATCTTTAGACTTTTAAATTGTTGCAATGTTGCTACTTCTTTTATGATATTCTCTACCATCTCATTGGGCAACTCCTCAACTGAATTCACATCAATAATCAATTCTTCCAATTTAGGAAGTTTTGAAATTATGTCGTAGTTTAAATGTGCATTTTCATTTCCAGACTTAATAAAGGATACCCACAAGCGCCTCAAACAACTCAACTTTTCAATTTCAACTGGAATATTATTGAATGCACTCCCCCGAATATCAAGTGCTTCAAGTTGCTCAAGTTCATCAATGTCAGAAGGGAGGTTGCTCAAATTTTTGCAATCAACTAGATATAGAACTTTGAGACTGTCCAAACTTGATATAGATGGTGGTAACAAAAAGAGTCCAGTATGAGATAAATCCAAAACTTCAAGCTTTTTCATATTTTTAAAGAACAAATCAGGGATTCTCTCCAGACACAAATTTTTCTGCAGGAAGAGTGAGGGGAATCTGGTAACTGGTCCAACTTATTGTCACCCAAGGAGATTCTATTCATCTCACTCCACAATTTCATATCCGGCGGCAGTTTTAATGCTTTGCTCGCTTTCACTAGATGTCTACTTTCAGGATAATCTTCTGTTACATACACAGCCACTTGTCGGATGAATTTATCCATTTTAACATGATCCATACTCTTGCCCTCCTCGAGTACTGACAGCTCATGAAAATAATCCAATATTGAATTCCCATTTGTTGTGTTATTTCCGTTGAAAAGGAGATTGTTAGCTTCCCAACACTCTAACAAACCATTTTTGTTGATGTCTGTGTCTTCCGGATATAATGCAAAATAAAGAAAACAATTCTTACACTGGTCATCATCCAAGTTATCATAACAAAATTGCTTCAGCAATTCATATAATTGCCTAATGCCTTGGCATTCTCTTTTGACCCAACCCCTCCAACTATTCAATCCATCAACCCAAAGGTCTTCCTTGGCTTTCCATTTGCAAGTATTTGCTACATTTTTTATCACGAGTGGAAGTCCACCACAATCTTTGCACAGTTTCTCTGCAACTCTCTTTTTTTTTGTATCTTCAAGTAGTTCTGTCGGTCTCAAAACATCTTGGAACATCTTCCATGCCTCAGCTCGAGTTAAACATTTCACCTGAATCGCCATGTCCACCATTTTGGCACAAGCATTCAGCTGCCTAGTTGTCAATACTATCTTGCTTCGATTGTTGCTTTCAGGAATCCCAATCTCACTTAAATCAAGATAGGCCTTGACGTCATCTAACAGCAGCAAGTAACTCTTGTGCTCCAACTCCATTGATATTTTTTTGGCAACTTCTTGGGTATTGCGGGTGTCTCTGATGTTTAGTTTCAGTCTTTGCACAATATCCTGTTGCAGATGCTCCTTGCTCAAATTTTCCTTACTCTCCACTTTTGATACTTTGAGCCAGATGACTATGTCAAACTTTTTGGCAACTTGTTCACGGTAATACAAGTTGCACATTATAGTTGTTTTTCCAATCCCCACTGTCCCATGGATGCAAATCCTCTTAATCTTGTCACGTTCCAGCAAAACCAGTGTCTCCTTTAGTGGCTCTAGAAGTGTTTTAAAACTGCTGATATCTTTCACAACACGTTCTGGTGGTGGATCAACCGTCATTTCAGATATCTTTCGCGTAAGTTCCTTTATTTTTTTGAACATATTTCTTCTCTGTTCTATGGAATCCAAACTTGAAGGACACCAAAAAGATGACTCTTTGCCTTTTTGTCATATTCAGCTAGTAAATCCTTTGCCTGGCTAATCAATTCCTTGCAAGTTTCAGATGACTCCATCTTATCACTAAGCTTAACAAGAGAAAGAAGCACATGAGCTGCCTCATTTATAATATGAGGATTGTCCTCTGCATTGTCTGTGCTGACGAGTTTGCTCAAGTGTGAATCCCAAAATACTTGCTTTACTTGGGACATGGCCTGCACCACTGCTGCTGCTGCCGATACTACAGTGGAAACTGTTGTTATTGTAGTCATTGTTCTGCCAATCAAGAAACGCAGAAACTGTAACAGAGAAGTTGAAAGAAGCAAAAGCAAGGATGGATATAAGCTGCCATCTTTAATTCCTGCTCATGTCAAATATCACCTCAATTGTATTACCTAGGATGATATTTGAGCTGCCAGTAATAGTAAATCAAATGGAATGGCAAGTCAATTTACTATATATAGGCAATGCATTTGTTGTTGCAATCAATAACAGGACAAGAATCGTATTGAATTAACAATAATGAATTTTTTTTGTTTTCTTTTCCCACTGTAAGACCATCTCCAAAGCAGGTAGCAAATGTGTTGTTGGCTATCTTATATGCAGATTTGCTACCTTCATTTGTTATTATTGAGATTTGGCACTTCAATTAAAATAGTAAACCTTGTTATTTTATAATTATTTAGAAGTAACATCAAAATGTAATGGATGAAATTGTGAATGGATGTCATGGCCCACTAATAACATTGTTCAAAAGTATTCATTCGGTGTGTGAAATTCAACACAACAAATTTGTCATGTTTTGAAGAGGATAGCAAACTTCATTTGCCATTTGTTGTGTCAATTCAGCTTTGTTTTTATTTATGTGACACAACAATTAGCATTTGCTATGTTGATATGGAAATGGTCGGACAAGTACTTCCTTATGGAAACTGGAAAGCCAGCTTGGAAATGGGTGGTGTGACTATAAAAATAAGATTTGGAAACATGCTCATAGACACTTGTGTGGGCGATTGTTGGAACTTGAATAAAAAGTTTTAAAACTTCCCTTTAGCTATGTATTGCTAGTACAAGTGGTTGTGCTGCAGTGTAGCGTGGCCACAATTTTTTGAAATTGTTCTCTTTCTTTTTTAATTTATTTATTTTTATTATTTTTTCCTTAACCGTTATAAGGCAATGGTTTTTGTTTGGCCACAAGTTCTATCTAATGAGAACCAACACCTTGACCAAGAGGTATGGCTTTCACTAACAGACTGTCTATTAAGGATATGAGCTCCCACGTTTTCTTCACCAGAAAAAAGCACAGGGTTTCTCTTATCTCTCATCTTTGATTTTCTTACTTTCACATATTGTTTTGAGCAATTTCAATCATAGATGGTTCTACATGCCTTCTAGTGTGCACGAACACTAGAAGGCTGGTAGTAATTTGGGTTAAATCGTGGAGCTATTAGTTGACCGTCACTACCTTCGTCTGGGGAGGCAATAATAGCTTTAGGAAAGCAAAATCGCGCCTCTAATCATAGACCAATTTCCCCTAATTTGTTTTTACTGTATACATATCTATGATTATAGCATTTAGGGTACATTACATATACAGTCCTTGAGGTTTGTCAAAAATACAGATTTTCCCCTCACGTCCTAGAAATTATAAATGCCCCCTCATCAAAAAAATTCTAGAATTGACGGGTAATTTTATTCGCACACCATTCTTTATCTCAATACACATCATTCGTACCGTTCAGATTTCAACTTCTGAACAAAAACAAAATGTTCGAATGTCAACTTCTGAACAAAAACCAATTGTTAGAACAAAATTCACGTTCAATAGTTAATATCCAAACATTTTAGTTTGAAAGTAGATATCCAAACATTTGTATTTTGTTAGAAAGTTGATATCTGAATAGCACAAATGATATTTACCGAGATAAAGTGTGGTGTGTAAATAGTAACCCATAACTAATCTAACAGGGAAAAAAAAAAAAACCAAATACTCTCTAATATTAAATAAAATTATCATACTACCCTCATTTTCATCCAGCCGCCACCAAATCCCGTTCTCTACACCATCACAATATTCTTCAACCCTTCTTAGTGATGCACCAAATGCTTGTAAACAATAATGACAATGGTGGTGCTGATCGAGCGTGGGAGATGGCGGTGCAATGGTTGGGCAAAGTGGTATTATTAGTTGAGAGAAGATAATAGGAAATAAGGAAGATGAAATAAGAAAAAGACAAAAGAAAATAATGTGTTCTTCATATATGTCAGTGTAGGTATTCCTAAAAAAATTGGGCCTTACAGGGTAGGGATGTTGGGAAAATATGCTCCCAACTATAGTCAAGTGTGAATTAAAGTATACAAAATTAATTTAGTGAGACCAAAGAAAAAATAGACCACCACAAGAGACACCAAGATTTACATGAAAACCCCTTCAACGAAGTGGGAAAAACAACAGACCAAAAATATAACCTCCCCTATTATCTGAAATAATAGGTACAAAGAAGAACACACACAAACACTCACTCTCCACTCATCTATGAGTCCTCACAAACTCTGTCCATTCAACAGTGGTTACATACACACTTTCCACTCAATTGTCAGTATACACAAACACTCTCCACTCAATTGTGGGTAAAACACTCAACATAAATGGGAATACAAAGCACTCTCAAGTTAATGCCCAAACTTGAGAAACACGCGGAGTAACTCTCACTTGCTCTCTATTTGAAGTTCCCCTCAAATGGGGTATTTATAGTTGAGGCTTGGCATTGGGTAGCCAATATATCTTAAATTATTTTTATGTGGGGTGGACCTTCACAATTCTCCCCCTCCACCTCACCTTGGCAGAGGGAACACCAACAAAGAATTCTCACTTGGAGTCCATTCCGGCCAACTCTCTGCAAAACTTGAGCTTGTATCTCAGAACAACTTACGGGACTCTTCCACGGATAAATGCACTCTTCAACCCACATCATTTCATTGGTCAGTCATTTGGGGTGTAAACAGGCAAGAGGGGCTAAAATTTAGGAGGGAGGTCCAAATTTTTTAGAGACTACATATGTTTGGTCATCAAAGACAAACATCGTCGTTTTGTCCTATGAGTTTGTTGTTGTAGATTTAGCAACTAAACTCTTGATCGTCACCAAATCCAAAACGACGTCTTTTGATTATCCTAAAAAGCCCTAACTAGCATCTTCCTCATTTCAATCCATGATCTTCCTTTCTCTCCCTCGCTATGTTGTCTCTTTCTCTCTTACACTTTCACGCCTCAATTCTGCCATTGTCATTGCCACCATTTCCGTTGTTGCTGCTATCACCATACCACCGGACTGTCAAGAACTCCACCTCCATTGACACCTTATCCATCAGGCAATCTCTCTCTCTCTCTCTCTCTCTCTCTCTCTCTCTCAATTTACTGGTATTCATTCTAATCATAACCAAACCATACAAGAACCAAAACCCATGCAAAGTGTAAGTCCTGGATACTTGTTCTAACAAATTAAACCATATGAGAACTTGATAAATCAAGTGAATGTTGAGCCAGACAGAGTGTATATGCAGGCTCTCAACGTCTCTAAGCAAGGAACTAGTCCTTTTTCACTACTAAAAAAGAAATGAATGATGAAACTGTGGACTGGTCCTATTCTGCAGTAATTATTTTCCCTTTCTCAATTCCAGTTTTAGAGAATCCACGAAGGTTGCCTATACAAAATATCAGAACATTATGTTGGGTTCATACAACTTCTTAATTAAAAATGTGTTGCATTAAATTATTTCTTAGTGTTGTTTCCCAAAAACAAAAGTAATCACTGGTTTCAATTTTTTAAATTTAATTTTTAAAAAATTGAGCTTTTTATTTTTTGTATTTTTTTTTTGTTTTTATTGAATATTTTTAAAATTTGAAATAATTTTTTTACTTTTTTAGATGCACCATATTTAGATGTATCTAAAAAGTAAAATATTTGTAAAAAATTATTTCAAAAAATCAATAAATACACAAAAATATAAAAATGTACTAAATTTCCGTATGTACATATATATTTTTAATATTTTTGGTATTTAAAAAAATTCACAAATATTATATTTTTTAAGTGTATTGTGTTAGATGTATCTAAATTTTTTTTTAAAAAAAAATTGCTTAAAATATTAAAAAAATTCAATAAAAACAAAATAATAGGAAAAACAAGAAATTTTCAATTTTCTGAAAAGTGAATTCAGAAAACTCAAACCAAACAAGCTGAATATTTTCCCATTATTTTCTAGTTTTTTGATCTTGTCAAATTGTATTAAAAATAATAAATAAATAAATAACAACTATGGGTACAAAATTCTTCTCAATGGCAATTAAAATTTTTGTCACGAAAAGTGCCTTCTTCTATGAGATGGTTTCCATAAGGTGGAGAGAAGGGGGAATGAGCAATGAGAGAGTGGTGGTGTCGTGGTGGTGCAATAATGGTGGAAGGACAAGGGCAGAGGGGTGGTGGCTGCCACAAGGTGGCTTTTGTTTGCATAAAGAGAGAAAATGTAATGACTCATACCTTAAATCCCTTTATTTATTTATGATGGTGTTTTCGCATTTATTATGTGTTTGTTATAGATTAGACTTTCTTTGGGAGGGCATTTCCCTAAATAAGCCAAAATAATAAAGGAATTCTCAAACTAAGCCTAGTTTTGAAAGATTTCGCAAAATAGGTTAACTCGCGGTTCACAATCGCGAGTTCAAGATTTTTCTACCACCGTCGCCTGAAACCTGTAAAGGTTGAAACTCGCTGTTAGGAAAAGTGAGTTTGATTAAGAACTCGCTGTTAGAAAACGCGAGTTTGATTAAACTTGTTTCCTTTGAACTCGCTATTCACAAGCACGAGTTTAGCAAAAAATAGAATTCTTCTGAAATCGCTCTTTGA